GAGGAGGGAAAAGTACACTAAAAGCAAATATGATCATTGTGTGTATTTGCAAAAGCTCAAAGATGGATCTTTCATTTGTCTTCTCTTGTACGTTGACGATATGTTGATCGCTTCGAATATTCAAAATGAGATAGACAAATTAAAGGATCAGTTGAATCAAGAGTTTGAGATGAAAGATCTAGGTGAGGCCAAGAAGATTCTTGGTATAGAGATAAGTAGAGATAGACAGAGAGGGAAGCTTTGTTTAACACAGAAGCAATATCTGAGAAATGTATTACAATGTTTTGGCATGAATGAAAATACCAAACATGTAAGTATCCCACTGCTTCTTATTTGAAACTTAGTTCTCAATTATCTCCTAAAACTAACTAAGAACAAGAGTACATGGCAAAAGTTCCATATGCTAATGTAGTTGGGAGCTTGATGTATGCAATGGTGTGTATGCGTCCTGACATTTCACAAGCAGTTGGAGTTGTGAGCAGGTACATGCATGATCCTAGAGAAGGACATTAACAAGTTGTGAAATGGATTCTACAGTATCTCCAACAAACCGTGGATGTTGGTTTAGTTTTTGAATAGGATGAAACACTTGGTCAGTGTGTGGTTGGATATGTTGATTCTGACTATGCTGGTGATTTGGATAAGCGTCGATCAACTACTGGGTATTTGTTTACTCTTGCTAAAGCTCCAGTAAGTTGGAAGTCTACTTTGCAATCTACGGTGGCTTTGTCTACTACAGAGGTAGAATACATGGTAGTTTCAGAAGCTGTGAAGGAAGTAATTTGGCTTAACGGGTTGATGTAAGACTTGGGAGTTGTTCAAAGTCACATTAATTTCTATTGTGATAGTCAGAGCGTTATTCACTTAGCGAAAAATCAAGTCTACCATTCAAGGACTAAGCATATCGACGTGAAGTATCACTTTGTGCGAGAGATCTTTGAAGAATGAAAGATTCTACTTCAGAAAATTGAGACATCAGAAAATCCTGCATATATGATGACCAAGGTGGTAACAGTAATCAAGTTCAATCATTGTTTGAACTTGATTAACATCCTGAAAGTTTGAGCACCATCAAGTGTATGGCGCTTGTGAGCGCAATTAGAGGTACTACATTAAAAGAGCTTCATAAAATTTGGGGAGTTGAAGAAATTGAGTAGGGTTGGTAATTTCAAGCCAAGATGGAGATTTGTAATGTTTGGCTTGAAAAATTAGCAAAGTTGAAAGTTGGCAAAATTGAAAGTTGGCAAATTTGACATCTTTGGTTGGTGACTAACTTGTACACATTGGAAAATTCTTTGGTAGGTGGCCAACTTATTTTTCATCTTTGGTCCCTAAAATATTAGGTCATTTATAAGTTTAGTCCTTAAAACTCAACTATAAATAGGCCTAAGTATTTCATTAGAAATCATCCCAAAACAAGTTTTCTCTTCCTCTTGTTTTCTTCATTCTCTCACTTTGGGAATTCTAAAGAATTCCATTTGTTGTAATATTTGTTGATAGTGAAATTATCATCTGGTGTGGTGCCCGAGGAGTAGACGATATTCTCGTCGAACCTCGTAAATTTGGTGTGTTCTCTCCTTTATTGTTTTTTATTCGATTTTTTGCATTGTGTTTCAATATTCAATAGTTTGACAGGTTTATCCGCTGTGCAACCTTTGGTGGTTTTGATCTTGATATTTTAGGTCAATTTTGAAACTACGTTCGTGTGAGAAATAACCCGGTTTCCCCAACATAGAGAAGTGTTCTTTGTCTTTACAAAGCTTTTTACTACATATTTCAAAGATAAATAAAATTTAAAAGTATTAAATATTTTATAAATTTATTCTAATTCAATTCAATTAATTCATAAAAACATTTTATATATATATAATTATAGTTAGGATGCATTTAGACTCTAAAGTGTAATTATATAAAAATGTAACTACTAGCATAGTAATTATACATTCACATATTTATAAAAAAAATTAAATTATTTAAACATATTTGATTGAGAGAGTATAATTACATATTATTTTTTTATGTAATGTTTAATTGTACAAATTATATTATAATTATGCATATTTGATTTATTTATTTTAGTTTCAAGTAAATATAAGATAGTGTATGCTCAAAAACTCTCAATCATTTAGCAATAAATGTTCATATCTTTGCATACATAGTACTCGAACCGAGGACAACAAGATATAACAATAATTCATTAATCACTGAGATCGCTTGATTTCTTGCAATAATTTATATAATAAACTTGTTGAAGAAGAAATATTTAATTTATTAAACAATGATCATTGTAAACTTCGATGTCGAGGTTGGTTAAATTTCTCCTTTTATGAGGGCATTATCGGAACTGCGATGGATGTAGATTTAGCAAATGCGGTGGTATATCTTCACACTGCATTTTGTAGACCAGTAGTAGTCCATTGTTTGTGATATTAAAAGCTCAATTATCATGCTGGATTCCAACAATGCCCCCAAACTCATCGATTTTGGACTATGTATTCCAATTCCGCGAGGGGAATCACAGCAGAAGAATGCAATAAAAGTCAAAACTTAATCAGAAAACAATCAATGGATTCCAACAATTTACAAGAAAACAAAAGCATCGTATTGGATTCATTATTCAAGTTGGTATCAAAGCTAATATTTGAGACTTAATTCTGCCCATGCACCTTTGTATTTCTCGGTAAACCCGCAGGTTCTCCGTAGACCATGGCTTTTTCTACAAGGGGTAAAAGTCGATGCACTTTGGTATAACTTCCTCGTTAGCATGGGAGAAATGTGCAAGACTCACTATCGAAACGAGTTAATTACATCACATGTCCTCAAACTATGACCTCAGTTTAAGTTGATATTTAAACTTTTAAATATTTCAATTTTATCCCCAATAATCGACCCTTATTCTAAATTGATCCCTAAACTTTTTTAATCTTCTCATTTCATCAAAATATGTAATTAGTTCCAACCATAGTTTAACCTAAATTTTTTAAACATATAATGATAAAACTTGCCCTAATGATTTTATCAACATGGGATGCGAGTAGCATATATCGATCGTTTGAGATGAAATTCAAATGCTCAAAAGTTTAGAGACTAATTTAGAATGAGAATTATAATTTGGGGATGAAATTTAAATATTTAAAAGTTTAAGAATTAATTTAAAATGAGAATAATAATTTGAAATGAAGCTGGAATATTCAAAAGTTCAAAAACCCAACTAATAGTAATTTTATTGGACAACTAGACCCAACTTGGAAGAAAATATTTTGGGTGACATTAGTCTTTTTACAGCAGAAGCCCAGTAGAAGATTACTTCAGACCAAGAGAGAAAAAGAAGATTACTTCACGATCCTTTTCCTCAATAGCCCAAATTTAAGAATAATGAGCTCTTTGGGTCCAATTTATATAATTAAAAACATATATTAAACTCAAATCAAGTACTCAATTTCAAAATGCCCCAAATAGCTTACTATGGTACTATCACAAGTTACAAACCTCAAGTTTAATGTAAGAAGGTTGAACAAACAGTGAGTACCTGAAAAACAGCAAAAAATTAGCACACATGGCTGATGATGGCACCCTTAGATCCATTGAAATTGGAGGAAACACATCTCAACTGTCCCATGCGTGACCAAGCCCGTATGCATCCATGAATCCAGCTGCATGATCATGATCATGTCCATGACCATGACCATGATGATGGTGGTCAGAGTCTTTTGCTTCATCAAACATTTTCTGAATATGCTCAGAAATGGGTTCTTCCTCAACTTGTCTAACTGTTTTTGGCAATGAAGATACAAACTGAGCTACATTCTCAGCTACTTCACCAGCAACACTTTCCTACACATCACAAACACACAGCAAACATGAATTCAAAAGGCAGCAAATGCATGTAATATCGACTAACACATGGAAGCCATCTAAGGAGCTTGTTGATGCTCTTGAACAAGATTTAAATTCCACAGGGTGGATGGATCCATGCTATGTTGGAATTGGTTAATGGCTACGAGTATGTATCTAACCTGAGTATGCTTAATTTTTCCTAAGCTATATATTCGGAGGATCATATTCTCAATACGCATGTTGGATTATGCGTCAAGCACAAGTGTTTAGAAGTTCGGTTAACACAGCACCTATGGTCCTATAAGTTTGGAAGAATGCAGTTACCAACTGACACACGGAGGGAGAACGGTATCAATTTGAACAAGATCATGAATCAGACTCTGAAAAAAACCAACCAATGTTGCTCCGGCTTTTCATATGTTTTGAAGTACCCATGTCCATCACCAACATCCGATTCATACTCGGAAATGGCAATGGGGATATGCTAATCCAAGAACCCTCCAAATATATGAAAACTGGGTAAAAATTTATCTGTCGTACACATACTCGTATGTGTATTTATACTCAGACTCTAGGTAACATAGGAACCAAGAACAAAAGTCAAGCAAGCAAGCAGATTTCTCAAAACTGAGCAAATGTCCCAATTTACAAGGTCAATTTTTCATCTAGTCGATTAAAACCTTACTAATTTGGAAGACAATATTAGCAACCTTAACTAGCAACAGATTTCCCTTTTTTCTTTAGTAATTCAGTCACCATATTTCATGGCCTATCCAGGTGTTGATTGCACTCTCAAGACCTCAACCAAGCAATCTACTAAGTAAATGCATATTAATCAATTATATACAAGAATTTACCAGTAATAGAAGTGTAGAATATGGCTTTATATGAGAGCAAAATCAGTGGTCAAAATGTTAAGACACAAAAGTTGAAAGAATGTTCACGGTATATCTTACTCTGACTTTGGCACGAGTATTGGGCATGTGTCTGAAAAATACTCGATTTTTTCTTAGTTTTTTCATGTATTTTGAATGTTCATGTAAGGTCATATCCCCATCCATATCTAAAGGTGTGCAGCATACGGGTGTATGCCAAGTAAAATGATGAATCAAAGCAACATACTTCTTGGTTTAATTCCACAAACTAAACTTGGAAGAATGCAATAACCAAGCAACGTGCAAATTAAGGGAAAATGGCATCAATTTGAACTAAAGAATAAACAATTCAAAAGGCATGCAAAGAACCTAGAACAAAATTATCGCAAATATAAAAGGAAAACAATCTATTAAAGACATACAAACAATCAACAATACATGAATTCGCCAACAGTATAAGATGGCTGCATATATTCAGAACATATGGTAGCAAAAAAACAGAGGCCAAAATAGACTTAAAATCTGACTTTTCCTCACTGATAATTTGATTCAAACAAGCCAGAATCAATCACAAACTCAGTCAAGAGCATACCTAAAAGCTTTCTAAAGCAGCTATATTTTGATAATTCTGCTATGACATGTAATTATGTAATAATGTAAAACAATAACAACAGAAACTAATAAGTCAAAAGAGTCAATGAACCCATACCTGAGGCCATCTCCCACCGGAATGAGTGACAAATTTTGCACCAGGAAGTGCTTCGGCAGTTCGTTTGCCCTCTTCACTCCATTCATCTGACCAGTCATTAGACCAAAGTACCTGCATTGGCATACCTTTTATATCATCCAAACATCCCCATTCTTCTACATTAAAACTATGATTCAGCTTCTTCTCGATCCCCACAACAGCTTTTCTTGCCTCCCACCCCTTTAAAAGCGATCTATGTGCTTCCAATTCCGACTGGTTAATCCCCTTTGTGCAACACAGGTTTATAAACCTTGCATAAACAAATGAAAACCTCAACACAATTTCATTAACAACAGGTATGTTCAAAACCCAGGTAGGTAAAGCTGGTTTTAGTCCGGTATCGATAAGAGTTACGCTTCTAATGAACCTTGAATTCTCAGAAATCCAATTTGCAGCCATAAGAAAAGCAGAATCATGTAAAACCAAATGCACCGGAGCTAACCCCATTGTTCCTATAACTTGGCCTAGAATACTCCCCATCTCTTCACTTCCGATCTCAATCACATTAACATTCTTTTTAACCAAAACTCTAGATTTTATCTCTTCATAAGGCAGTTCCCCGGTTTCAACCATTTGATCAAACGCCCAAAACACACCCTTTTCTTGGATCAAACTATAAACTTCCTTGAACCTTCCCAAAACTCCATTTGTCCCTTCTTCAATCTCTACCCTAGATTTATCTGAAAACCCATTTCCGGGTAAATCAAGGGCTATAACATGAACTCCTTTTGAGCCTAATACCTTAATCATTTCCCTATAGGAATAAGAACTCAGTCCCAACCCATGAACGATCATAACATTCTCAGATGACGAAAACTGACCATTTTCAGAAACAAAAACTTCAATCGGAGATTGGTTTGGAGACGTTTGCACCTTGATGATTCTGCCATTTGAGTAGTGTTGGCGTAGGGGGTAGGGCAAAGAAAGGAACCAGGATTTGGGGTCTTGTGGGGGCAAAGATGAGAAGGAGACAAAGAGGAAAGTGATGAGAGAGATACCGAAGGTGAAATAGAACCAGAAGGCAAAGGGATTTTGGGTTTGGGTGTTTATGGTAGGCTTTGGAGTTGATTTAGAAGGTTCTGGGGTTGGATTTTTGGGAATTTTCTTGTTTCCTTTGGTTCTGGGTGGTGATTCTGGCTCTACCTCTTCTGTTATGATCGCCATTAGACAAGCATCAAATGTAAACTTCAATTTCAAGATCTAATCTTTGTAGCACAACGCACCTTTTAAAAAAATAGGAAAAAGAAAGGGTAAATTTTGAGATTTGAGATAAAGCTGTATGTCCACTTTGATAAAGCAGGTCTTTCTTCATTCTTTAACGGCAACGTGTTATTCTTTCTGGTTTCTCAGAACGGCGCCCTTAGCTTTCGGGTTTATGCTCGTATTGCCGCGACACAGATTAAAATATTTTGGTGAAAAGATCATTTAATTCCCTCGGAATTTCAAAATTGGATAAATTCAGAGAAGGAGTAATTTTATGTGCTGTTTGTTTGTCTTTTAATACAACTATTCAACGTTGAACGTTGAATCGTTCAGTATTTAGTACGTTTATTTTGTATCTTTAAATGATTCAATGCTAATTGATTCAGTAAAACAATATTAAATGATTCAGAGTCATTATCAAACAACATGTCACATTCAGAATTAATTCATACAGAATCTCTAAATCATTTAGCATTTAAATCATTCAACGCTTAAACAAACAACCCCTAAATCAATTTTGAAAGTCAACAATTAAAAATAATTAATCACGATTTTAATGTATTTGTTAATTTCAGATAATTCTGATAGCACATAATTTATATATTTTGTAAATGTTAAAGGGCAGAATTTGTTAATTCTTTTAATTAGAACTAGATTAATTATATATATATATTTAAAAAGATACTTATTATTATATGAATCAAATAATAAGAACTAGATTAATTATATATATAAAGAATAAGAACTAAACATATATACAATTACATTAATTTTATTAATTATCACATCAAATTTTTATCAAATATTAACGATAAATAATTTAATTGTATAATTCAAATAATTAAATACTCATATTCATAAAATTAAAAAAATCAATAATTAAATTAAAATTCTCTTAAACTAAAATACTCTTAATTAGATGGTTGGTATACTTTATTTTTAATTTTTAATATAAAACAATAAAAGAAACAAATGCATTACAAATTACAACCGAGAGTAGAAAGACTTGCATCAAATATGAGTTGAATATATTATACATATATCCAACAATTCTTTTGACTGCAATTTTTGTTGATCAACTTGAATAGGCAATAAGGAATGGCTTTGTTTTCCTCCATCTTTTCGTACAGCACGTGGCACTTGGCTCATAACATTCTCTGCGATATCTGATCGGATTTCGAGAGTTCGGCATACATGTTGGAAATGACTTTTCCGAAGCATGCCTTTGCTTCAGGTCGCTTGATCTGTACGATTTTTACATTAAGGTCAAAACCAGTTAGATTTTTATCAAGATTAAAGATTCGTACGAAAAGCAAACAAAGAATAGCGTCTAACCTTGAATGTCGGGTAACTGCCGGAAGTATTCCACGGAAACTGCTCTCAATCTGACGTTGAAGACAGCCTACTACCCCACCTCCCCCTTATCCCATTGCATATGAGAATAGGGTTTTATTGTTGTTGCTGCTTGAATGTCGGGGTGAGAAGGCCAGTCTCCACTGTGAATGGTTCAGGCACCAAGGATAGAGCTTTTGCAAATTCAAAGCCTCTTAACTGTGATATAAAAGAAATTCAATTAAAGGATTCAAATAAATTAAGGGTAAAATACACCCTCAGGGCATTCGGTTAGTAATTCAGTTACAAACGGACAATTTTTCTCTAAAATTTATAATTTAATCACTCAATTAAAATATTATTGCAAACGTATCACTTTATTTAAACTTAAGAAACATGTCCAATGTGGCTGGGTTTAATAATAATTTGTCTCCAAAACTAATATATTCTATTAATTTAGTCCTAATTTCAAACAATTTGATAAATTTAACCTTTTATATTAAAAAAAATCCATCAATATTATAATAATGCTATCAAATCAAACGAGTCCATCAAATCGAAATAAATTGGATAATAGCATTCTACTATAAAAGATCATGTTATTATATCAGTAACATAGCATGAAAATGATATAACATTTCTATGAGAAGAACAAAATTCTAAACTGATAGAATTTTAATGATGAAAAAAATTAAATTTATTGAATTATTATAACAATACACATCATTATATTTAACCACCAATTATCTATCTGTAACAATATTTTAACTGGATGATTAAATTATAAATTTTCAAAGAAAAAATAACTCTTTTATAACGAAACTAATGATTAAGTGGCCATAAAATTAATAGGTGTCGATAAAAAAGATGTATCACCGGTTAAAATCTTTTACCTGTGCTTTCTTTCCGACGTAATTCATTTCTTCCAGAACCGCATTCCTTGTTCTTGGATCATTGCACAGTTGTCCTAAATCCTCGTACTGTGCAAACGCATTAAAAAGTTTCGTCATAAAACAGAACACTCTCAAACATAGCATTGGCTTAAAGAGTATTCGGAACTAAATGACAGTGATCTGAAATGAATAAGTGCTGGAGTATACGTTTTATATGAGCATACGTTTGAGTTTTTCCGTATATTTGAAAAATCATACTCTACATGTATCAAACACAAATACGAGTGGACACTAGAGCAATCCGAATGATGAATTTAGTGATCTGAAAATGAAGAAAGACAGAGAAAATAGAAGAAAGAATAACCTGGATGCCCTGAGATGCAGCCCAACCTCTCAAGACATCAGGTTCCACTGCAACTATTGCTACTACAGATGAATTAAAACTATCACCTGTAAACATATTAAGCAATCAGGAATCCAGGAAGATAAAACACTGTTGAGGATCAAACAAAAGTATTTTTTATAAACGATCCGCTCACCGTATATAAAACACTGCAAAATGAATTTGCATTTCGCGTATACATTCTCAATCTTCTCAGGTGCTATGTACTCACCCTGTGCCAACTTAAATATGTTCTTTTTCCTGCAATGAATTAATAACCATGGGCATGAAAATGTTCAGTAAAAATGAATGGAAATGATCCATACAGATGATTCTCTACGAAAGATCAAAAATAAGAAAAGCATGGCATCGTTCTCTAATGTTTGAAAGCAATCAATCTTTTTTTTTTTAACAATTTCTACCTAAGAGAGAGGAAAGATAATTTTACTTATGTTGAACCCACAACTTAAAAAAAAAGTGTCAACTAAAAACTTTTAACAACCTACTCTCAATGATTATTTACGAAAGCAATCAATCTTAAGATTGTGCTCTTATATATAAATATGTCAGATATAGGCATGAGATGTTTATGTTACTCGGACTTTAGATGTAAATATTAAATATATGTCAATTTATTTTATTTTCTAAGATTTTATATATATTTAAAAGATTCGTAAAACATGAACCAAACAATTTTGATAGTAAAGAAATTGTCGTTATTCTTTGAAGTCTTGGATTCGTGCACCACGAATGTCAGGGTTGGAGTGTTTAACGTCAAAGTCTCGGATTCCGATCTATTCAGGGTTTTTTTTAACATTTAGGTTCAAGTCAAATTTTATTGAAGGATGGAGTTAGATTTGAGTTTAAAGTGAAAACTTGATTCGATCTGATCCGACATAATATTATAATTATCTTTTATATATTTAGGAATAATTATAATAATATCTCTCACTATTTTTTTTTCAATTAGATCTTTGTTTTACTTATTAAAAATAATTTTTTGTATATACATATCTATATCGGATTGGATCAGGTCAAACATGGGTTTTCGTATAAAAATTTGGGTCGAGTGAAATCCTCCTAGACCGGATCATGAATGCAAGTCAATGGGTTTACTTTTCGATTCCGGTTCAATTGGGTTAAGAAACCGACCTAACCCGACTGATGCTAATCCCTAAATAAGATTATCGGGTCCACTCGTCAATATGACATAAGATTTAACAAAGATTACCTATCAATAATCTTGAGACGGCCTCCAGGTAACCACGAACCAATGTCTCCTGTATGTAACCAACCATTATCATCAATCACTTCTCTCCTGTTCAACCGACTAGGTAGTCAGATGGAGTAAAGGTTTGCAGATACATGTGGCTACAAATCTAATAAGATTGTGAAAGATTATCACGTTTGGGCTTCGTCCTTGTAGTAGCCTTGAAATACGGTAGGACCTCTCACACAAATTTCTCCACGAGGATACGACTCATCGTCAGAGGTATAATTCATTTCAGGAACATCCACAAGTTTTACTTCTGGAAAGAGAAAATGATGTGCAGCACAAACAATATGAGGCACTATGCGATCTAACTTTTACAAAATTAGATGACTTGTGTTAAGTAGTGTTATCCCACATCTGTTAAATATTGGTTGCCCCTGCAACTATTGCCAATTGGTTTTAAGTTGGACACTTGATAGAGTTCAACAAGATTTTCAGCTTAAAATGAATGACATTTAGAACCTAAAATTTACAGCTAGAGGACTTATTCAACTGAAAAAAGCAAGGCTACTCACCACAGGCAGTACTAGGAGGCCCAACATGACCAGTCAAGCTATCACTTTCTTCCACCAAGGATATGATGCTACAAGTCTCTCTGTCATGCCATATCCCTCAACTACTATGCAGCCAAAGCACCTATAAAATACACACGTCAAAGACCGATGAATGTAAAGCTACGGTACTGAATCCGACAGACGTTGCTTATCAGATGGTTTGGAGACCGATTGAGTGCTTGCTAGCAAAGTGCTCAGATACAGCAATCGTGTACGAAAATCAACTTACAGTCTCAAGAACTCCATTACTTCAGGTGAAAGAGGGGAAGCACCGGATGCCATGAAACGCACTCGTCCTCCAAGCTTTTCCCTTATTTTGTTAAAAACTAATCTGTCCCAAATTGGCGATGCTTTCTTCCCTGAAACAATTGTAGGAAGCACGAGCAGTTAGATGGCAAAACAAGTGGCAAGCACACTGAGAGCATACACCTTTTTATAACGCTCATATTAATTGGAAATATATAATATATAGAGAAAGAAAGCTTAATTATTACCAAACATACCATTCATGATGGATTCCTTCTTGGAATTGTAGGCTACCGTAAATAGTCTCTCCTTTAGAGTGCCAGAAGCCTTTACAGTGTTAGTGATTCTATGGAAGTGAAATGAACTAAGTAAGAATCGACAAACATTAAAAGTTGCAATCAATTATTTTATCTAATTGTCAACCTCTATCATACCCGGCATAAATTCG